TCTGACTACAGATTACACAAAAGCACAGTTTGGCTATATGCAAAATAGAATTGAAGGGGATGGGGAATTATTGTATAGGTTTGGAATACTTATACCACATATATACTGGTGTTTCTTGGCTACTAGAAATAAAAGTTGCCAGCTATCACTGCAGGGTAACAAACATGTAGTAGAGCAGCAACCAAGAACTAATGGAAAAGTCACATTAAATATGGACAGAGACATTAACTACAGGAAACACTATTTGTTTGAAAATTATGGCAAAGAAATTGCTCCTTGCATAATGAGATTGTTATTTTCAAGGCCTTCCTACAATTCATGCTCAAGAAACTAAAGGATAGAATGAAAAAAAAAAGTCATGAAGACAGACTAGGGAAGCTGAGGGGAAAATGGTTTTAAACTCAACCTGTCTTTGAAGCACTTAACTTTGAACTGATCTCTCTGGACCTATTTTTCTCATTAGGCAGAGATGGCTAAGAGCAGCACTCATTAAAGAAGCATGAGATTCCCTAGGGCTATTGAATCAAGGTTGAAGTTAAAAAATGTCTTAATCATCTCTTTTTAATCTCTGTATTTCACTCTGTCTTTTTTGCTTACTTTCCTTTCACCCATCACAGCTACATAATTACCAGGTGAAAAATTTTCTAAATCCTGGATTCAAAATGCTAACATATTATATTTTTAAAACAGTAAAACCCCCACAGTTTTGCTGTCTTTTTTGATAATTTAGGTGAAAGGATGGCAGAAACACCAAAAAGGTATGTGTTATCTATTTAAATGCCAAATCTGCTTCATGTTGGTTATGTCTATACTGCATGACAAAGGATGCGACTTCCCCTTCCTTAGTTGCTCAACTGTGTGCTGATGTCATCTTGGGAAATGGTCTGGGTTCCTCTGAAAAAAATGAAACTAGTGACTGGATAAGAAGGGATCACAATAACTACTATAATTGTCTTCTTTGGATACTTAAGTGGGGGCGCAATATTGGACATGGCATGCTTGCTATGGTTTAGTTGATAAGGTGGCTCTCTCAAAGGTTGGACTTGGTGATTTGGAAGACTTTTCCAGATTTAATGATTCTACCCCTGTTTAAGACAACTGGTGGAATGAAAGAAACCGTTTCAGAAAAGTTAGGAGACAAAATGGAAGAGAAGATTTAATTGCTTTATGCATCTCCTCTCCCTCTTCTGCATATTAAGTAAAACAGTTCTCTCCAATTCCTTCAGTGTGCTAGCTAGCATGACTTTACAAGGATAAAGCAAGAACCAAAATCCTGTGTAGTATCATTATAGCAGATATTGGTTATCGTTTCCCTAGAGATGGGAACCAAGCTCCAAATGAATTCACCTAAATTTAGTTTCTTGTATGTGTGGTGGGTGTCTGAAGTACCACAACTGTCAGTAGATATAAGCCCTGACTAAAACCTCATCCACTTGCCCAAATGTAGGTATCTAATGTCATTTTAGAGCCTGTGGGATACTCTTTTTACCTCCAGATCTGTGAATGACACTGATCTCCTGTAAATTCTATGTCATAGTCTCTCATCTTCAACAGATGTATTGGATGACTTAGTGTCATGGTTTGACGCTGGCACAATGCCAGCGCCCCATGAAAATACAACTTACCAATCAAATGCTGTGAAATGTGATCAAGAACAGAGCAAAGCAGGCCAAACTTAATAACAAAGGAAAAAACTTTATTACACTACTACTACTACTACTATAAAAGGAAAAGAAAGGAAAGAAAAAAAAACACACAAAATTCGAAATGAAAACCTTCCAAAACATTTCTCCTCCCTCCACCCAACTCCACCAAACCCCAGCGAGACCCATTTGGATCCTTAATCAAGGTTTCACCCTTCAATATAATTAATACTGAGTCTATCGGGGAAGAGAGGAGTCCCCCTTGCACCATAGACCCCCAGGAAACACAGCTGCCACCTCTTGTGTTTCCAATGTCACACGTGGCACCGCCCAGACCCACCGGCCAGTGTGACATTCTCCTCTCCATGTCACAGTGCTCTCACCACCGTGCATGGACAGAGACTGCTTATAGGGCCCCTTTAAGGATGCTTTGCCAAGGACCACCAGGAACAACAGTCCAGTATCACAATTTGGGACTAGAGTCCCCCCCATTTTCCCCTGGGGCCGAGGGTCCAAAAGACAGAGATCGCTTTCTCTTCTTCCCTGAAGATGGAGGGCATCCTCACAACCTCCTCAGCTCTCTCTCTGTCCACTCCAAAACTGGTAGTTGCTGAAGAAGGTCTCTTGGCTCACCAATGCATCCCCCTAAAATGCAGTCCCTCTTGAAAGAAAGAGTGGTTCAGTCTATGGTAAACAAGCAGAGTCCAGCCAAAAGCCACTCTATCATCTTCCCCCAACCTTCTTCTCTGAACATCTGAGGTTTCAGGCTGTCTCTCTTCCTCTCTTTTTTCAAACCAAGGAGGAGAAAATTTCACAAAGCTTTCATTTCTCAGGAAGGGTTAAAAGTCCCAACTCCCAAGGATGGCTCGCTGCCCAGGCTCCAGCTCCCACAGCCCGGCTGGGCACCTTGCGGCCCCCCCCGCTCTTCTCCTTCCCTGCGGTGAACTGCTGGCAAAACCACCGCCGTCTCTTTTTCTCTCTTGGGAGAGAGAGAGACTCTGGGGGGAACGGAGACATCCCAGATTTCTCCACCCTTCCATCTGCAGGGGGCCAGGTCTGGTTCCAGCCCCTCCACCCTTGGGCCTACCTCCACAGGCCGCATGGCTCCCCTCCCCCACCCAGCCCGGGCTGGGCAGGGGAGGTCCTTACCATGCGGTGACCGGAACCAAAGAAGGACGAGTCCTCCTGGGAATTCCGCTTTTAACCCCTCTGTGTTCTCAGAGGCGTGTCCACCTTCAATTGGTCACGCCAAGTGTCAGTATCTAAACCTGACCCCTGACTGGATGGACCTCTTCCTTCTAAAAAAAATTCTCTTCCCGTGTCAAACCATGACACTTAGCTTTAGGATTATTTAGCTTTGTGAAAGTAAATTAATCTCAGGATTTTTATTGATTTAATAGATGTTTATGTTGAGGAATATCTTCAGTGCTGATATATGTAGCTTAGGAGGCAGCTGTAGTTTGGGCTGTGGATTGAGCTCCAGGTGTTGGAGCCCCAGACAAGAGGCTGTAAATGTCTGACCCTTTGCAGAACAGAGGGCACAGGGGCCTGTGTCCCAGCCAGGTGACCAGGAACTGAAGCACAGCTGGAGCCAATGACCCCACATTTTCTCACTGAGACTGTGAGGGTATGGAAGCCCAGGGTTTCCTATTATTGAGAGCCCCTCCCCCAGTCAGAGGAAGCAGCTCATGGTGTTTTTTTGTTTTATAGTTATTGAACCAAGACAACTCTTTTAAAGATCAAGAAGCCTGGGAAACCTCATGCAATTGTGTGAGTGGGGGGTGTGTAGCTGTGAAGGGGCATTGTCCCCAACTCAGGTGGTGCAAGTATTACTACCAGAGTGGCTCCTGGATGATCAGGTAGGGAAGTTTCCTTAACATTTATACAAATTTTTCCTAAAATCTATACACGAAGCTTGAGATGTAAGACTTCAATCCTGCCCCAGAAGGTAGTTAATGCAGGATTTAGATTTTTAAATATATTTTTCATGTGTTGCTTGAGACATCTCAAGCAACAAATGAAAATTGCAGAGATGGCCACGCAAACCAGCAATTGCAACAGAGGGCTGACATAAATCAATTGAGTCTTGTTACTTATTACTTCTGTGTCACCTCAAAGTTATTGCCTCTATTCTACTATGTGGGCAGAGGGAACATCCAGCCTGTAAGGGAATATTGTTAGCATATTTTCTTTGTTCAAAAAATAAAGACTCAATCTTTACTTAAAGGGACGCATCTTATCTCATTCTCTTGTCAGATGACTGTTCTTGATTGAATCTTGAAAACAAAAAGTTATGCTTTCCATTTAAAAAAAAGGGGATTTTACCTACTCTCTGTCTGTCTGTCTGTCTGTTTCTATCTCTCTATATATATGTATGCATACATATAAACTTGAAGTAGATAAAATAAATAAATAGAATACAAGAAATAAAACTTCTGGATGCATCTGCACTGCCAAATAGGGACTATGAGTAAGCTTTGATCTTTTAAATTGGACACTTGCTTAGCTGTGAATTCATTTCTTGACTATTTGGACAAACTCAGGTATTTTATTCCAAGACAGTACAAGGCATATTTCCAAGGCAAGTTAATGTCAAGGAATACTACTAGAAAACAATGAGCCTAAGACTCCATCAGGCAAAGCTTCAAGAACCCTACAGTCTGTCATTATTACTCAGTTCTACTCATATTTTTCACTTCTTTAAACTGAATTATTTTATTACTGATAAAATGCAAAAGATAAGTTCAAAGTTTATTTATACATAGTAATTGGATATGGTCAATGTTGGTGTATGCAAAGAAATTAGTTTTCAAATGTGTCTTTTATTTACATCATATGATAGCTTCAGTATCATAAATTCCACATGATGAATGAGGCCCAGTATTTTCAGTCTTCTTGCAGATAAAGGATAATGATCCAAGTGTCTGCTTTTAAGATTATTTTGTTTGTTTGTTAGCCTCAGATCCATACATGTGTATAATACATGGGTATGATAGTGGCATAAGGTGACACATAAGTTTTTATGTGGTTTTAAAATAGGTAGAATCAAATTATTTTTTCCTGAATTATCATAGGGACTAGTGGCTGCCATTTGTCTTATTCATGGGAGAACTGTCAGATGTAGGACACTATTTAAATAGAGTATATGCTAAAAAATTTTACAGTGCTTCTCAAAGTTTTTCAAATAGAAATGACTGGAAAAACAGAAAATAAAAGTGAGATGCCTGCATGAATCTATTTTAGTAGATTATTTGACTTAACAGCAGATATGTTTTTTGCTTTATGGTTCATCTACTCTCTTGCTGGAGCACATCCATGTAAGGTCTTATCACACATTCTGCAATTGGAAGAGCAATCAAGCAGATACAATGAGTTTTATTTTTATTAATTATTATTTATGTCTTAAACATAAACATCTATGTGTTAATTTGCTACCAAAAAACTAGAAATACTAATACCTGCTCAACTGATTATTAGGAAGACTAAATTCAAACATATTAGGAATACTGAAAGGATGCAAAAAAGTTTGTACAGCCAAACTGTGTAAACTTCAGCATTATAGAATCACTTGTCCTGATTAGTCACAGACAGCAACTAACCATGCAGACAGCAACAGCAACCATGCAGCCTGTTGCTCACTCCCCGTCATCCAGGCGGGATGGGAAAGAGAAATTGGAGTGTTCCTGGCTGTGTTCCCTCTTGTCTTCTTGTGCACCTGCTCACTGGTTGAACATGGGAAGCAAAAAAGTCATTCACTTAGAAGTAAGCATTATTCAGCAACAACTCAAATATCAGTGTGTTGTCAACGTTATTCTCAGCTTACATCCAAACTACAACACTGTACCAGCTACTAGAAAGAAAAGTAACCCTTATCTTAGTTAAAACCAGGACACCGCTTAAACAGAAAATACTATCTGTGAATTTGGAACAAAACACTTCATCTAAGATGAAAGAAAAGTGAGAATTAGGACTTTATCCAGCTAATTACCCTAAAATTCTACAGCATAAAACAGAATTAGGGAAGTTATGCTTCACTATAGGGTTATAGCACTGTCTGGATCCCTCTTTCTCATCTTTCAGAAATAGAGTTACCTTTTTTTCCAACTGCGACAAAAATAGATGACATTCAGTGACATAGACATCACTTTGATCAAAAAAACTTCAAGATGTTTGTTGGCTATGAGGCATTGTTTTTGTACAGTAAGTCATGATCTTGTAAATTTAGGTATTTTTTAGTGATAATAACACTGATGATTAAGTTATAATGTGATAGTTTCAAATCCTGAATATTTAATTCACTTTTGAAATACTAGAATTAATATTTTGCTTTTGAGAAATAAGTTTTCTCTAACCCTGCAATATTGTTTTTTCCTTGTGAAGGTGTTGGCAGATAGAAGCTGATTTCACAGGAAATCATGTTGGATTACTAAATTTGAGAAAAAGCTGCATAAACACTGCATGATGAATAATTATCTCTCTATCACAACAGACATTTTATAAAACATGTATGCATAATTTAGAAGCTATTCGCAAAATATGTTCAACTAAAATATCATGAAAACTGAGTTAGCTTAATTTATTAGAAGACATAGCAATTAATATGTGCACTGCTATTTGTAGTGCAAAATTATGTTTGACTGTAAAAAGCTTAAATTAGAGAAACTTTGTAAATTTAAGTTATGTAAAGGCTGACTTTCTAGATGAAATTAAATCAAATTTTGAAGACTGAGTAGCATATGTAGTGATTAAAAGAAATAATATAAATTATGGCAGAATAAGGCATGGCCTCTGCAGTGTTAATAGAAAGACCTTTATTGGTTTCAAGCACTTATTTTTATACTTTCCAAGGCTGGGATAAGATGCTCCACTTTATGCTTATTGATTACCTGCTACCATGCTTGCCTGGTGAACTGAGTGTGCTGTGGTTGCACTGCATGCGCGAACAGGATGAGATGTTTCATCTTGGTCACAGGTCGTGCTACCTGATCAGCTTCAAGGTTGCTGCTGCACAAGCTTTAACGAATCAGCCATGCTGCTCATGTCATTTAACTCATTCTGCTCTGCAACATATAAGTGTGTATTTGTAAATATATTAAAAGTGGTAGCAAATGTAATTTTGTGATAAACATGAAGGAGAGGCAAAAGCAGAGAGGTTGTAGAACTTTCCTCCTTGAAGATACTCTAAATTGTTTGGACATGAATCTAAGAAGTAAGCTTGAGCAGGATGGCAGGAGAAGATAACCTCAAGAGTTCCCTTCCAAATTCAACTGTATTATGATTCAGTGATTGTCACTGCTTAAGGACATTGCTTAAGTTCATCACCAGAACTTCAGACCCAGGACCCAGAACAGAAAACATAATATCTCAATGAAAATTCAATAGATAGGTTTCTATTCTTTCAGGTATAATTAAAAAAAAAAAATACAAACAACAACCAAAACACACATATTTACAGGGAAAAATATCCAAACCCCAGAGTATTGTGTGCTTGACTATTTTACATTTGTAAGTAGATAATTTTTATTTGCCTAGGGTAAAATAAAATATTTTTTCTTTAAAGTCGGGTGAATATGTCAACATGAAATCAGTAGAGAACAGAAAAACTCCAGTTCAGTGAAGCTTGATTCTTATGTAGAGTCATAAGCACACCTCAAAAGGGAAATTAAGCACAATGACTTTGGGCACTGTCTCTCCACTGACTATGTAATAGGTTGCTTATCTTAAAAGATATGCACTTCTAGAAAGTTAGATTCATATTGACACAAGTTGGGATGGCATGTGAATAAGCAGCTGCTTCCTTTCCCGCAGTTTGCCGTGGTGGGCATTTTTGTCTCAATAGGTTACCCAGATCTGCTTCACCAGGCTTGGCATCTTCCTGTTGTTGCATCTGTGCTATTTCCACAGCCTGCACAGTAGAGTCTTGTCTGGTGTGCTAATTCCAAACCTTTCACCTCTCTGTAGGCCTAAAATTAACACCTTCCTTTTTACCATCTGTGCCTGTCTTAAGTTAGCTTATCTTGTGGGAACTTCCTCCTTTGTCAGTGTTTGAGACATTTTATTGCATTCTTTAAGTGCTGACATGAACATCTAATGAAACAGAGCTTTGAAGAAGTCCAGACACAATCCTTACCAGAAAATTTTGCAGCAGTAGTATATGAAAATGAATAAAGGAATAAAATGAAACAAAACTAATTGCATGAATGGGATTCTTTCATCTCATCACAGATGTCACTGTTTCGCACCTGACTGCTCAAACTGAGAGAATCAGACTCTGCCTTTCTGTTTTCTGCTTCTTTCACTCCTGGCTGACTACAACACAGCCTCGGGAGGAGGAACACAGTGATTTTGAAAGGTGATGGTGAGGGCACCAGTCCTCAAGGGCTACAGGGCAGGAACAGTGTGCACCTGTTGCAGTGTGTACTTCACTTGTTGGGGTGGGTAGGGAGGTTGGACTTGGGGTTAGTATGAGTACACTCTGCACTTTGGACAAGAGGATATATAATGAAGACAGATTTTACAGAATATTTCAAGTTTTAAAGGGAATTCACTAAACTAGTATTATGACAAAAGCTGGACCTGGATACTTGGCTGCAGTGAATCTCTTTTTTTTCTGAATGTCTTATAACCTAGTCAAGAGAGCACTTTCCCAAAATGTGGGCCATGACAGTTTATTCTCTCTAGGCTGAGAGGTATAGTTCCTGAAAATTTTACGCTGGAAGCCAAGTCTTCCAACAACCAAAAATGTTTTAATCATAAAACTTAAATTCATAAGGCAAATGTCATTCTGTTAACCCTATGCTCACTTACCTGGGCAGGCATTTGACAATTTGTGTGAACACTGGCAAAATTTAAATAATTAAATAATTAAATAATTAAATAATTTAGTTAGTTAATTAATCAATACTGAAAATTAAGCAATGGGGGAATTACTACACAGTCATTAAACCAATATTGGAAATGAGCATCACTTAATTTGAATCTAGGCATCTTCAAAATAGACCTATGTCTGAGCTACTAATGCTCAGTCATCCTAATAGCCAGGAAATGCATATGGAAATTTTAGACATTTTCAGTTGAACCATTTTTGAAATAATCTCTTATGTTATAATTAATTCTACCTTCCGTATCTAACAGCTAAATCTTCACTGCTGATAAAGTCTCAGATGTAAGTGAATCTAGATACTCCATTGTTAGAATACCTTTTACCACCAAAGTCTGTTTAACTAGTAAAGATATTTGGGGCACAAACATTCTGAAACAGAAGACTTAGACAACTGTAGTATATCTTGAAAAAACCTGCCCAGTCAGAATCAATAACTAAGAAAAGAGTATCCAAGTTGATTGAGCAAGGCACAAGGAGAAAAAAAAAGTGTTAGGATTCTAAAAAAAATCTGCAGAAAAGTGAAAGAAACTGAAGTGTGTCAGATAGGGTTACTTGTTATATATTTTGACAATATCTATGTCTCACTTTTGACCTGTCAGCAAGTAGTGCTATCTTGTCAGTAATTCTTTTGGAAATGTCTATAGTATGTCCTTTATTGAATATGATTCTGTGAGAAACTAAGTTATACAAAGCAGAATACTATGCATAGTTAAGGTTAGTACATGACAGCTTTGGCTGACCTATCTCAGATGACCTGAGAACACATCAACCATGAACTAGAATCTAATTAAATACTATAGAAAAGTAATCAAAGAAGTGAAACCAATTAGATTATAATTCTAACAAGTACAATTTGAACACTGGGTTGTTTTGTTTCAGGTTTTTTTCCCCCTGTATAATGTAAGGAGTATACCTCATGAAATATCCATAAGCTGTGTCTTTGTAATGATATATCCAGTCTTAGAGAATGTGACTGAAAAGTGTAAGAGAAAACATGGCTTATAGATTGAGTGTTTGCAGCCGTCAAAAGATATAATATTTCAATATGAAAAAAGACTCCCTATCAGGACCATTGTGTGTTGAAGTTAAAGAACAAATTTTGCCTTGCCCTCAAGTGAAATAGCTATATATATAGGCCCACTGTGATATGTTATTGTTTTTTTAAAGCTAAAATAACCATTTTCCTTATGCATTTAGTGGATTCCATCTCCTGAGGCGCTCCATGATCTAGAAATACATCTGTATAAAGGACAGTTGATATGCTTAAGCATCATATGTGCTTAAGGCACCTTGACATATTGGACCCTATAAATGTAATGCATGGCTACTCTGTATGTTTATATTGAAAGAAAATGAAGTCTCGCTGCTGAACATAATTCTAGCTCAGAAGGATAGCCAGAATTCAAATCAAACTTATAAAAAAACCCCAATTCTTTTCAAAGACCAACATGACAGATCATGATCTGTAGGATTATTTTATTTTTCTGTCAACTTTACATATGTATCTTCAGGCTCTACATCTACATCATACACACTGGTAACATTTATCCTGAAAACAATCAAAATAAGCTTTTTTCCCTCATTATTCTGAATTAATTACTGTGAATTTTATCATAGATCAAGCTAAGATGAAGTATTTTTATTTAATTATGATCTTGTATGTGTGTTTTGCCGTGCAAAGTGGAATCTAAAATACTTTCTCTCAGTGAGGCTGTTACAGACATTTACCTTCTCTGTCTGGATTTATATTTTTACTAAATATACAAAGAGTTAATTTCTTTTAGATTTTTTGCCTTTCTTTCAAATTTCATAAATAGCAGACTGCTAGTTCAGAAGATATGAGAGAGAAAAAATCCATGTGATAAGCATTTGTAGTAAAACATCCACGCAGTTAATTAATGGCCTCCACACATTCTAGTATTTACATCTATCATCATAATTGCTCCTTGGGTTTGATCCCACAAAATTCACATGCAGAGCAACGTGTGCATTAACAAGTGTAATTTAAAGACCTGCAAGCACACAGGAATTTATATTAATGAGAACCCTGCTGGAATTCACTGCCGAGAGCCTCAGAAAAGGTAAGGCTTCTAACAGGAACCAGAACACAAACATCCTATTAGCATGAGAAAGCTTTTATTTTTTCTTTATTTTATTTCTTTTTCCCTGTGTATCTGTGTGTGTGTTAGTGTTTGCACTCCCATTTATATCTACAGCTATTGTTACCCATATCATTACGTGAAGGAGCTGTGTAGATTCCCCCATAGCACACATTAATGTACCTGATGACTGATAATAAAATATATGATTATCCATTCCTTTTAGGCTCCTGATTTATTAGACAAAAGGGCACAACTTTGGATGTTTATGCAGAATAAATCAATACCAACCAAAGTAATCATCAAAAGCTACTCCTTCACCATCCAATTAAGGTAACCCTCACATTCACAGCCAATATCCAGCCAGCTCTAATGTGAATTTCTTTCTGTCCTTCAATTAACTTAACTGTTCTGTTTTATAAGTCTAAATTAAAAACAGGCAGATAAAGTAAAGGTCATGACCAGCCTTTGGTGTTTGATCTGTTTACAAAAAAATAAAACCCCACACAAATATGCCCACCACAAAAAAATTAACCAAAGAGCAAAATACAAAATAAAAAAATAAAACCCCCAGTAAACTCTTTCTTTAGAAACAAGACTGACAGCCAGCAGGATATGGTAGAGCAGGTAATATGCACAACAGGCCATTCATGTGGTGGCTTGTGTATTTTATCAATAAATAACTCTTTCATGAGGATTTTCTTACATTTAGGAAACTTGAAGAGAACTTCTACTCCTCAGAATGCCTAGCTATTAAACAAAATTATTCCCAAACCTAAAGTTTGTTTAGACAAAATTGAATTGAGAAAACCATCAGTAATTTAAAGTATAAAAAAAAAACCCCAGAAAAGAATAGTAGCAGTTATTGCATAACTGACAAAATAAGACTCTGAACTTTCAGTTAGATACATACTTTTTAAAAGCATAAATTTGTTAAATAATTAAGGTGCTCTTACAATTATTTCAAAACCCCTTTCTTTTAAGGTTGCAAGAAAACAGTGTTTGAACAACAATCTGTTTTACATTATATCAGAAATTATTTTTAATGATGTGCTCATCACAGAGCACATGTGCTTAGGTCACAATGAACCCAGAATTTTTTAAGAATTAATTACTTGATCCTTTTTCATTTTGAAGATTTTTTCTTGCTTAAATGAGATATTCATGCATACAAATTTAGTTGTGAACAGATTTTTTGTTTGTTTTTGTTTGTCTGTTTGGGGTTTTCTTTGTTTTGTCGGGTTTTTTAAAATACAATTATTGTTATCAGGTATTTTATTAATTAATATCCTCACTTTTAAAAACAAGTCATGGTTGTTCATATGTAGCTTGGGTATAAAATCTTAATATATGCATGAAATTTGAGGAATGTGTTCTTTCAAATAAAAGATAAATTTCTTCATTTGAAAAAAGTGGGAGATTGATAATGCAGTTATATTTCAAAAAATATTTACATTTTGAATTCTTTTAACTCACAATCACTTGCAAATTCTCATAACTCTTATCTTGTCCTCAAAGGAAAGACCAAGAGATATCTCCAGGTACTTAAATGTCTAATTTAAGACATTTTCTTATTTAGAACAGACAGTTCATATAGCAAAATAGCCACCTCAGGATAGGAATTAACATCTCCAGAACAGCTGAATATTTCCCTGAAAGAACCTATATTCCTCCATTGAAAACTTATGTGAATATCTATTAGTGAAGTACCTCAAGTTAGGCAAGATGTACGTAGTACTAGGGTTCATGGAACAAAGCTAAACTGTATGCCATTTTCACCATTTTTAAAGATATTCTGGTTAAAATTATGATATTAATTTTATGATCAAATATGAGAAAAAGTTAAAACCAGGACCAGTTGTCTCATCTGAAAGACATAGACATGTGTGAAGTATAGTCTTTGAAAAACTGCAAACATTTGTGAATGTTGTTTTGTGCATGTGGAACACGGATGAGTATAAATTTTCAATTTGCTGATTTTCAGGAATAACAGAGGTGCTGGGAGCTATGGCCTCAGCATCAAGCCAGGTGAGGTGAACAGGGTCAGACACAGCCCTGGGATGTACATGGAGTGCCACGGGAGCAGGGTTGTGCAGGCCAGTCTGAGGAGTCAGCCCAGTTAGGGGGTCTGGCTCAGCAGGGCCAGGCAGGGCAGGGCTGCCCTCGGCCAAAGGCAGAGTTCAAGGCCAGGGGTGGACCTCAGCTGTGACCATCCTGCAGCTCTGCCAGGGAGTCTCTTCCCACCACTATTGGCTGGATGAGGCCCACCCCTGGCTGTGCTAGCTGTACTTTGTTCTTGAGTCCCAAAACCTCTGGGGAAGGCTGGGACTGAAATAGTCTCAGAAGGCTTCCACTGATAAGCTTTGCAGATATAACTATCTGTGCAACTCTGTCTTATTTAACATTCGTTGTTACTTTCTTTTTCACATGGTCTCCTTGACAGGTAAATTCATTTTAAAAAGGACTGGCCTCAAAACTTTGACTTCTTCATAGCAAGGGAAATTACCATTTTCATGACTTTCACACCACAAAGCACAACAGGATGCTCAGAAGAGTTTCATTCAGTAGTTCTTAATAACACTAAATAAGTCCAAAATTAAATGCAACTCTTTGAAAGCATCAACCATAAAATTATTCACTGTCCATCATACATTATAAGGTACATCCTGATACTCTCCAGGTTATACATATTACTTCAAAAGTGATATATGAAATTTCTGTATTTGACTGTAGCTGTTAATGAAGTGCAAAAAAAGTAGAGATATTTAATGCAGAGTGTTGCGCATTTCAAAATTAATCTAAATGAAATCTTCCATTGTTCCCCTAATGACTGTCAAAATTTTAAAAGTAGTTGTTTGGTATCTTATATGATTTATACTTTTTAATGCCTGTATTTGGAAATTTAGAGATAGAATAAAGAGTTCATTCTTACATACTCAGCTTTCAGGGTAAAAATATCTAAATATTAAATAACTATTGTTTAATTAATTTAAAATCATGCATATTCTCCATGGCTATTGTTCACTTATTTCTGAAGTGGTACTCAGCATTAAAAGAAAAACTCTCAGTAACAACAATAACATAGTTACTTTAGCACTCTGGATTCTGAGGCCCCTGTACATTTAAGAGTGAAATTACTGACTTTCCTTTTTTCTCTCTCTTTTTTTTTTTTTCTTTAGCTAAATAATAAGAACACAGATAATGCAACAATTCTCTAAGCAGTTCTTAGGAAATTATCTTATATTGATGAAAAGAGAAAGAATCCCAACTGCAATTTCTATAAATGCAATACTTGATTGACATCAACTCAGCACAGTTGAGTTTACTGAATCATAGGAGCTCTTTCAAAGAATATTGTATTGGTCTAAATCAGTGTTGTCGTGGTTTAACCTCATAGACAGGTAAACAACACATAACCATTCACTCACTCCCTTACAGAAGGATGGAGAAAAGATTTATAAGGATAAAAGTGCAAAAACATTGGTTGAGATAGTGATGGCTTAATAGAAAAAGTTGCTCATATCAATAAAGCAAAAAGAGGAATTCATTCACAACTGCTCTCAGCAGGCAGGTGTGCAGTTATCTCCAGGAAAGGAGGGTTTCATCATCTATATCAGCTACTTGGGAAAATAAAGGCCATAACTGCTGACGTTAACCCCCTCCTCTTTTTTCTGCTAGCTTTTACTGTTGAGTACAATGTCATGTGTGTGGAATATCCCTTTGGTCAGTTGGGGTCAGCAGTCCCAGATCTGTCCCCTGCCTAACTTCTTATGCAGCCTCATCCTACTTGATAGTGAGAAGGCATGAAAAGAAGCAGAAAAAGCCTTGATGTTGTGCAAATACTGCTCAGCAACAGCTAAAACATCAGGGTATCATTAACACTGTTTTCAGCACAAATCTAAAATATAGATCTGTATAAGCTATTACGAAGAAAATTAAACCTATCTTATCAAAATCAGGACAGCCAGTTAAAATAGTTATATACATTAGTTGGTATTAATAAATGAAGATCATTTTGTGTCTTGTCATCCTGCTTCCACTGGCAGGGAAAGAGTGAATACTTCCCAGAAACAGACAGAAGTGTATTTATTAAATGCTGCAATCATTCAAAGACAAACAGATGGCTGCTATTCAAACAGGGAAAAGCAGTGATTATCCACATCTGTACAATACCAATAAACTCTAATATATTCGGAAGCAATTAACAGCTTTTTTTAGAGTAAAGTAAAGAGTTACTCAGAACAGCTTTCATTTCATTATTTGGTCAATTTTACATAGGAGTTCTAACTATGCATAAATGGTTTTCATAATAGTGAACACAGTAGGCTTCAATGATTGCTTACTGTGAGTTGGAAAATGCTCACATGGAAGAATATTATAATTTCTTTCCGTCACAACCCCCCCATTTCTCTGATTTGCTGTTAATAGGAATTTGAGTCAAGATCTCTTTGTAAAATTATTTCCCAGTTCTCTCTTAGCCCTTCACTGGACTGACATGCCAAAAATGTTAGGCCCAAATTGCATGCCGTATGTCAAGCTGGAAATGTACATAGGAGATGAAAACTGAAAGCTCTTGCCTCAAGACTTATGCTCTCTTGTGAGTTCAAATGTACTGGCATCTATGGCTGCTACTGAACTTGAGTTTCACAGTTCATAGTACTGAAACAAAAGTTCAGCCATCTGGACAGATATGGTAATGGGTTATATTATCCTACTACATTCCTGTGCAGCTTTTCCAATCAGACTTTGAACAACTAAATCCTGTCTCTAGAGTTAACATTCATAGGCAATGGATTGTTGTTTAAGTAAATTATTATACTTTGCCTAGCTAACTTCATTTGTGTTAACATCCAACCGCCTTTGACTATCCAATCCAACAATATGTTATAAATTCCCAGATTTTGACCTATATCCAAAAAGCACATCTAAACAGTGGACTCCAGTTGCCCACTGTCTTAAAGAGTGGGTTTGTCTCTTGACTTCATTTTGGAACATCCAAGTGGTTATGTCCAGAGAAAATTTGTTTTTCGCAGGAC